AATATTGGCGTTGAAAAACTATTTAATACGTTTGTATTTTTGTATTGAGATAATAAAATAATTTTCACATTTAGTATTATTTTACAAGAAAGGCAATTTATTTTAACGATTGTATGACATTTGACAACTGTCAACTAACTTAAAACTAACTTTAGCCCGTGACTAAAGCGCCATAAAGCCACAACTTGTCAATGTGTATTTAAAAGGTCACTTAGTGTCATGTAGAAAAAAATGGTTTAAGTAGTCGAATAAATTAAAAAATTTAATATTAAATGAAATTAATTAACTAAATTAATTTTTAAGAACTTGAATAAAAAATATCAAAGAACGAATGTATAATTTGAATCAACAATATCTACTATTCAAGAAAGATTTTGTTTAACCGAATTAAGCAAAGAAGAAATTTTTAAATGAAATAAAAATATCAAGAGAAATTTATAATTTGAATAAGAAATATCTCAGGTAAAATTTATAATTCGAATAACAAATATAGAAAATATTTATAATTCGATTTATTATTAAAATATCAAAATGATTATACGCTAAATTTTTAAATAAATAAATAAATCACACATTTTTATATTCGAGTTCTCTAAAAAACGCTGACAACTTTATTTTAAAATAGTAACCACAAAATTTATATAAAAATTTATGGCAACATAATATAATATACAATACATAATATAAAACCCGTTTTTGGCCTTTTGCCGTTGAGTGGACACTTTATTAATCAACGCCTTAATAATTTTGACGACCTACTTGTTTTATGATTTTTACTGAATATAAATGTTTAAAATTTTTACGTAAATTATGCGAATCTAATATGTACCTACAATTATTATTTACAGGGACTGTATGCAATTTATTTCTTCATTGGGATTTTTACTGTTTATTGGGAAACCGATAAAAACCTAGGATTTCCTGTCGACATTTTCAGGTCTTATTTTTAAAAACACTAGTTTTTTTTTTAATAAGAAATAATAAATTAAGAAAAATTTAGTTGGAAATATTCTTAAGGAATAAATATTAACTACACTTGTGCAATATATACGTATACCAATAAAATTACATTCCAATTCGTACTTTTTTGTTAAAAGAAATATATGTACAATAAGGTTAATTTTCAATCGATAGCTAATATATATTTAAAATACTATATCGACTTTAAGTCAAACGAGGTTTAAAGAAACATACGTTATTTCAGAGTGATAAATTACACTTGATACTATACCGGCTTTTTTAAGGTTTATCCCGTAAAAATAACCTTTGTCCCAAATCTAAATAAGAGGTATATAAATTTACACAAAAAAACTTTATTTTGTTCACAAAAACATGCTTTAAAGTGGTTGTAAAATAAGGGTTCGGAAACCAATTTCAACTTTTATACATTCATATACACATATCAAATATCCCTATTATCGACACTCTTCTCTCTAAAAATGAATTATTCAAAAATGACTAATTTAAAAGTTATTAGTGGCTGCTTTTTCACTTGTGGAATACCATTGTATTCCAAAATTTAACACCCAACTCTTATGTAAAATTGTCCCCTAAATCCGAAAATGTCGTCAAAAGTTAGTAGAATAGTTTTTGAGATAGGATAGATAGTCAATTTTCCATTTAATATGGAATTTATATCTTAAAAACTGCTCCACTTTCATAATTTTTTACGGTATTTTCAAATTCAGGGTACAATTTTACATAAGAATTGGCTGTTAAATTTTGTGATACCATGGTATTCCATGGTAAACCATGGTACAAGTGAAAAAGCAGCCACTAATTATTAAATTAGTCATTTTTGACTAATTCATTTTTAGAGACTATATTCCCCATTCAAAAGAATGATCGTCTTAAAACAAAACTTTGAAATAGTTAAAAGCAAGTAAAGCTTATTATTTTGTTGAAGAATTTTATATATTTGATGTTAAAGTAAATAAACATATTATATATTCTAATTTAATACATCATAAACTTTTAAGTAATTGAATACGTTACTTTATGAATATTGCTCTATTTAAAATGAATGTTTCATATGTTCAACATAATTATTGGCAATAGTCTTGACAAAAGTATAGTAGCTTTAAGATACACTTGTAAAGTAAAATATAAAATATCTTTTAAATAAATCAATGATTCAGTTAAAATAACTTACTTTTATATCAATAATTATAGATTTGTTTTAAATATAATACCTTTCCATTTAGCATACGCATTTAAATATATGAATTGGTTTGACTTAAAAGAAACATTTTTATATGTGTAGATAGATAAAGTATAGATTAAAACAATTTTTTTTATGAATAAAACAATTTTTTTATGAAATTTCTTACCATAGACTAAATTACATCTATTAATACGTCGATAAACAATAATAAACGTTGATTTCAGTCCATTTTCTGTTTTATTCTTAGTTTCCTGGTACTTAATTTTCTTTAAATGGCTATAAATGTGTAATTTTCAAATATCTTGACTCACCCATCCTAGGCTTAATTTCACAAATGGAATATACCTATAAAAAATGTCTCATTTTTGTCCCTAGTTTGTAGAACTCCCCAAATGTCTTGATATTTTTTTTATTATGGAGGCTAGTCTTGACAGTGCTAAAAAAATGGTATATGATTTGGAATGGAATATCTATCTATAATATACAGGGAGCACCAAGTATACTTTTATGACTATTTTTTTATTTAAAGAGCTACAATATTGGTTAAATTAGAGAAAAGTTGCTCCTAGTGCCCCTGTATATCTTAACAAAGTAAAAATTATTTCCACTGGCCTGGAATTTTAAAGGCCAATTATCCCTACCCTATGTTTTGTACAGAATATTTAAATTACATTTACAAGCTATTATCTGACGGTTTTAATTAAACTTTTAATTACCAATTTAACGACGAAAAGAGACAAAAAATTAAAACCCTAAAATCGGACCAGATTAATAAAATTTTAACTGTTATCATCGGTGTTAAAATCTAATATTCGTGGATAAATTAAAATGAATTTATTTTATTTGTCGAAATAAATGAAATTACTTAGGCCTAATTTAATACGCAAATAATTTCATTTAATTAGTTTTTCAAACCCGATTAAGTTTTGCTCAGTTTGATTTGTGAAGCTTTTTTACGTTTTTTGCATTCATATAAATTTATTACATGTATGCAAGATGCTCATAAAATTTAAGGGATTTTTAAAAAAGGTTTTTAGAGGATTTTTTATTTTATTAGGGAAAAAAATATTTCAACTATCGGCTCTAAACTGGACCGTCTAAAAGTGTCGTAAAACTCATTTTAAATCCTAAAACCGTTTTACAATTTTAGAAATCAATACTTGCATTAAATAACATTGTAAGAGACATTTCTACAAAATCCTGTATACCGTTTAAATGTAAAAATTACAAAGTCGTTTATTACCAAAACCCAATTATGTTCTACTTTAGGTTATATACTCTTGTAAAATAAAAAAAATAATTCAATTTATATTTTTGGGGGTTCAGCCTGGCTTGATACAAGATTAATTTTCAACATAATTTCAATTTTAAAAAATAAAGTATGACTTGAAAATATTAAAAAATAGTAATTTATATATCCCCATGGGGCATTTCACGCCAAATAAACATTTTGATTTGGACCATTTTTTAAGAAGTTATGAGCGAAAAACAAAAAAAAGCAGTTTTTTTGAAAATTTGATATCTTTTGAACCCGTGATCAAAAAAAGCTCAAAATTTACTGAGAAAGCTCTTTTAAGGAGTACTAAAAAATATAAAAAAATTGGAGGAATAAAAAAAAAACTTAAAACCATCCGATTTGGCTTGGAATGCCCCATATGTATGTGCGTATTAAATTTTATCCGAAATCACATTTAATAATACCTAATAATACTAATAATTAATATTGATAATCAAATCAAATGTCATTTGAATGTAGGAAGTGTCTAAGTATACTGTTTGTTGCGACGGTTATTATATATTTTTTAATCTAATTAATAAAATTAACTTATTATTTTTATTAAACAACATTTTATGAAAGGGTTCAATCGACCTCCGCAACGATGCTTTTTTTAATATTATTTAGTTGCTGCCGAGGAGTAGTAGACACATTTTAAAATGTATAATGGGTTGCATACAATACTCGTAATAAATTTTTACTTTACTGCCGATTTCAGATAAAAACTATTTTTTGTGTAGGTAAAGAGCCTTTACAAAGGTCGTTTTACCTATCTGGAAAAACCCTGTATATTCAAGGTTCAAATATAAAAAAATAAACAAAAAAACTTTGTTGACATTACTAAAAATCTTGAAAAGCAAAAAATCAAAATTTCTAAAACTCCAAAAAAATTATTAAATTTTTGATGGCCACGATCTAATATTGATAAAAAACTTGTATTCGCTTAAAAATTTAAAAGAAAAAAATATTTAAAATGAGTTTTTGCCCGTGGCAATAATAAAAATAAAATAAAATAAATATAAATTATCCATATTTGGTTACAAAATAGGTCTAATTTTTTTCAGAATCTCATTTACGTTTACAAAACTTACATATTTTCTTAATATACATAGGTAGGCCAAATACAAAGTCTTTATTAACTAACTTAATATAAACTCAGATCTCGGATTAAATATTATAAGTTAAGAAGCTTTTCCAACGTTTCCTTATCGGATTTTATGCTATAAAATTTAAACCACAAGAATTTATGGTAGGTATATTTTATTTAGGCTAAGATTAAATAAATTATTCATTTTCAAGCGGTCTATACAAGTTTGTAGTCGTCCTCACTGAAGTGATTGATTATGGCCTAGGCCCTTGTAAATTTTGGATTCCTTCAGGATTCTTTATTAGTCTCCGTAGAGGCATTTAAGATTATACCTCTCACCATTGTTGCACAATATTTCTTCCATATAAACCTGCATGCATGCTCTCTTAATTAATTAATTTAAGATTATACCTCTCACCACTGTTACACAATATTTCTCCCATATAAACCCGCATGCTCTCTGTTGATTTCAGATCCTGCCAGGGTCTATGCTCTGATTTGCTTTTGGTGAGGCGGCAAACATGGGCGGCGTGCAGACGTCGGCAGGTAGGCGGCATGCCGCGCGCCATCGTTTGCGGTACCTGAGGTGAAGCGAGACGGGGTCCCCGCCAGCGCCGCCGCCATGCAAGGGGCCACTCTTGATCTAACTACCACGTGCAGCTAATATGTTCTTATTGGCCGCTGGCATACTGCTACTCAGTACAGGATTAGCAGGTAAATGTCGTATGTGGATAATTACAAAAAAATTGAATATTCGGTATCTTCCACTGAAAACCAAATTTTAATAAAAATGTAATACACTCACAGGCAAAATAATCAATCAACACAAATTTTCGATGAATTTCAATCGCAAATAACTTTTTTATTTGATTTCGGATTTTATCGAATATTAAAGAATATTGTAGATAAATTAATGGACAATCGCTCACATTTTAAAAAAATACTAAAAAATAGACGTACGTTTATAATATACAGGTTTAAACAAAACGATGTTTTTTACCATAAGTTTAAGACACTCTGTAGAGTGGCAAAACCGTATATTGGTCTAAATTAAGTTTTATTTATCAAGTCACATCTATTCTTAACAGTTTTGTTTTAAGTTCACCTGGATATATTTATTTTTGTGGAAAATATGGATTTTTTTTTTAAAAACATTGCAGTTTCCAATATTTTTCTGTATGAAGAACTAAGGTTGCTATGGTCCATCCATAGCCTATGGAGAATGACAGTGACAGTTTTGTTGAATCATCCCATACTTGGACATGTCATACACGGCTTTCAAAAGCTATCAAATTGTTTTTTGCAAATTAATGTTTAAATTTTGAGGTGTCTTATTACTTTAAAAAATGGATATGTCTCCGACTGATGTTGCCATAGCCATTAATTTAATCCAGAATGGACGGTCACAGTATTACGTGGCAAGTATTTTAAACGTCACAAGAAGTAAAGTACAAAGGGTAACATCAGTCGGAGAAATTTTTAAATGTAAGAAGACACCTCAAAATTAACACATTAATTTACAAAAAACAATTTGATACCTACCTTTTGAAACCTGTATATGACATGTTCAAGTATGGGATGATTCAACAAAACTGTCACTGTCACCCTCCATAGGCTATAGATGGACCATAGCAACCTTAGTTCTTCATGCAGGAAAATATTGGAAATTGCAATGTTTTTTAAAAAAAATCCATATTTTCCACAAAAATAAATATATCAAGGTGAACCAAAAACAAAACTGTTAAAAGTAGATGTGACTTGATAATTACAGCTTAATTTAGAACAATATACGGTTTAGCCACTCTACAGAGTGTCTTAAACTTATGGTAAAAAACATATTTTTCTCCATTAATGTATTTACAATATTCTTTAATATTTGTTTAAATCCGAAATCAAATAAAAAAGTTATTTGCTATTGAAATTCATCGAAAATTTGTGTGGATCGATTATTTTGCTTGTGAGTGTATTTCATAATTTCGCTTTCAAAAATGGCGAATGCGTCGGGATAGCAGGGCAACATTTTTTTGTTGTTTTAAGAGAGGTACATGAAACAAAAAACACTGTTTATCATACATTATAAATTTTGTCGTATTATGTTATTAAGTTTTAAAAATTAAAAATCAAAAAATCATTTGAGAAAATACCTTTAACAAACAGTATGAGAAACATTCTATTCAGAGTAAAAATTGCATTATTTTTACTTTTGACTTTATTTAGTGCGGGTGAAAACGTAAAAATATTTATCAAAACAGACGAAGCGTACTCACAAGGAACATTTCCATTTAGTTTTGAATGATTTATGTTCAAGAAAAATATATCTGCCCAAAAAATACTGCATTACAAAGAATATAACTTTTTTCTTATCTTTATCAATTTGTTTTCTACACATACAAGGAATGGTTATTTATGTTATGAGGCTGAGAAGTGAGAGATCAAAGTTTTTATGGTACATTATAGGCCAGGCGGAGAAAACACATATTATCACCAAAAATACATTTTACTGCCTAAGATTCTGTCACATTATTTTTAAGTTAGGTTTAACTAAGATGATGACATTTCTACATATCTACTTATATCTACATATATGTCTATATGTCCAATGTCTAGATTTTGTCTAAAACATTTTTTCATATTTGTAATAGATGGCGCTGTAATTAAAAAAAATCAATTTTGTTTGATTTTTCTTCTGTATACGATTCTGCAATAATTTTTTTATAAAAATATCACTTTTTTGTAATAATTATCTTATTAAATTAAATCTGATTTTTTGAAGTACCCACGATTTTTTAACTAATATTTAAGTTTCCTTTGGTTTTAGTTTTATACATTATTTCATTCGGTGATAATTATCAATTGCGCACCATGGTCACTTTTTACCTATCAGCATTAAATCCTTTAATTTAAAGGATTATTGTACTATTTTTAATAAAAATTATTTTGTCAAGTAATTAATTTAATCCCAATTGAGGTATAAAAAAAAGGTATTTAGTTATAAATTATATTTATTATTGAGGTATAAAGAAAATATTCATAGATAGCATTATTTAATTAATTTAGTTCGAAGAATAATTTGCAAACAAAAAGACCTCCTTTCGTTAAGCAGTTATTCTTAATGGATTTTTTAATAGTAGAAGAAAAAATAGAAATTATTTTGATTTATGGAGAAGCAGGCAGGAATCTTGATGATGCTGTTAATATCTACGCTCAGCGTTTTCCGGATAAAATTCGATCACGTACTTCATTTCACCGTACAGTCAAGCAGTTTACTAAAAACGGGAGTGTTCAACCGAAAAAAAGAGTTCGTCAAGCAACAGTCACAGGTGGAAATAATGAAATGAATGTATTAGCAGCAACGGCCGCTAATCCTCATGCAAGCACACGAAAATTATCTAGAGATTTGGGAATATCACATAGCAGTGTTAGCAGAATATTAAAACGAAATGCGAATTAATAAATGCATTGAAGTCGAAGGCCACAATTTTGAGCACCTACTTTTATTAAAATTTAAAAAATAAAACTAACTATTTTATTCAAAACTTATTGGAGAATTGTATACACAAGAAAAATCGAACAAAATTGATTTATATATATATGTATATATAGTTTTATAATGTAAAAATTATTGTACACTTAAAAAATATATGGTTCTATAACAAAGTACCTATCTATTGGTGTTTTATACCAGACAACAAATGGAAGTTAAAATAGGTTAAGAATCTTATCTTAGAAAAAAAATTCTATTAGGAAACTTTTGAAAATTGTGTCAAGCTTAAATTTACAGAGAGACAACTGAGGAAAATACTTGAAGGTATTTGTGGAAAATAATAAGCACTCTTTTGTCTGGGTTTCTTAAGACAACAAAATAATGAGGTGCAAAAATAAAATTTGTATATACATTCACACCTTTATTTGTAAAATACAATGGAAAGTTATAAAAACTAGCAATACAAATAGTAAAATAAGATTAAAAGTTATTATTAAATAATAATACTGATCATAATATTTATATTATTTATATTATTATAAAAGCATTTTGTGAAAAAAATATAAATTTTTTATATTGCTAGATTCCGACGTATTTTAATTATTTTTAAATTACTTTTAGTAGTTTTATTTTTAATGATGTCAAAAAAATATCAATGTTACTTTTTCATTAATTTTTTATAAAAAGATTGAATTTTATTGCAATAAATAAAGTAAAGTAAACGTATTTTCGGAGACTTAACAATAATTATTTAAAACGATGCATTAATTTTTGACATGCATACTTAAAAAAAAGTATTTGCTGATTAATAACAATAGTTTACAGCCATTTTGCCCACCATATCTCACTAAATTTTAAGTGTGGTTTTCGAGTTAAGTGAGACAAAATACATGGGAAAATTATAATGGGATATGGTGGGCAGAATTTTTTTTTCGATTTTGTAAACTAATGTAATTAAAGAGCAGGTAGCAAATCAAATAGCAGGTTTGATGTGCTAGCTGTGGAGAAAGGCCCCTTTGTACTTACGCAAGTGTTATTCTAACAGTCTGTTCAAACATCTCTAACCCGAAGTAAATACTCGAGCCTTGTCTAATCTCGAAATAAAACAAAGAACATTTCAGCACTTCATTTCTTTTTTTACAACCACTCTTACTGCCTATCTAACGTGGCAGAAGGAAGGCAGGACGTAAAATGGAAATTTCCTTGAGTTGTAAATTTTTGGGCAAATTAAGTTTGCGCGATAACGGACGTTGTAAGAATATTAAATGAAATTGATTTTTTGCAACAAAGTTTTTTATTTTACCTACCTCACTAAAAATATTAAGTTAAATATATGCACAGGATTTTACTTCAAAAAGCTTTTAGTAATATTTGAATATAAATTAGCAAAAATTTATTGGAAAAATGTACAGTCAGAGAACAAAGTAATGTAGATACTTTAACCATTTTGGTTAGTGCCGAACTTTAAAATAAAACAGTTTTAAAACATTTAAAATTACTATCCAGGAATTGTCCAAAAATGTCTAAAAGCCATTTAAAATGTCTTGAAATTATGTTTATGAAATAAAAAAGTGCATTACTATGGTCTATTCCATTTAAGAATGAAATATATGTCGCTGCAAAACGAGACAGGTTTACATAGGAGAACGCGGTAAATTTAAATAAAATTGATAGCTTCACGGAGGTTAGGATTTCATATGTTTTTTTTTAATCCCTTTGTAAATTTAAAATAAGTTATTGTATCTTTTAAGACCTTAATTTTTTTTAAATACAATTGTATATACATAAAATATTTATAAAAAACAATCTACTTACAAATTAATGCATCTATAATGTCGTAAATAGAAGTTTTTGCTTATTTAAAATGATTAAAGCGCCATCCGTAGCATAAAATTTAAAGCAAAAACAGATTCACGGAGGATAGAATCAATTTTTTATAACACCTACACAAATGGTTATAAAAATCATTTCTTTTAATTTTTATTAATATTTTATATTTGATTCGTTTGCTTTGGATGTGTTTAATTTACTTAGTGATCTGATATTTTTAGTATGCTTTTACTACCTCAGATATTTGAAAACATATAGGGTAACCTAAATAGAGTAACAGTCACGGAGGATAGGTTTTAGACATTTAAAACATTGTAAAAAATAATTAATTGCGGTTAAAAATCTGGAACCTGAGCTGTAATATCTACTTAATTATGAAAGATCAAAACAAAATAAAAGTGTAGGTCAAACTCATTTAGCTTTATTAAATATCACGGGATAACACCATCGGGGGACATTTCGTTAAATTCACCCAGTTACAAATTATTAAGGTTAAATGCGTCAAATAAAGCCAATAAATCACAGAATAAACAATAAATTAACAAAATAAAAACTTTCTATGACAACAGCTGTTGCTAATGCCGTCATATAAAACAAATTGAATGCTGTTGCCAATGTGCTATGAATCACAACCCTTTTTAAAAGAAATATTCGTTTTATAATTAAAATGTTTTTGACAAATTGACAACAAAAGCTAATATAATATAATATTATTATTTCAAGTCTTGCTGTTTGTTGTATAATATTATTCCTTTTATAAAACTGCATTAAAATTGTCTAAAATGACAAATTAACAAAATTGATTAACAATATTTTATACAAAAAATGTAGTTATTAAAGTGACAATTACAAAATTCTTTAATTTATTAAAACCCAGCCATAAATAACGGATTTATGTAAAACCAAAAAAAAACATCCCTTATTGGCCATTTTATAGAAATAGAAACATTCTGTATAATAAACGTATAATATACATTTGTGACTTTTACAGCAACTAAATGTGTTTATCTCCACGCGGTCTATAATTTAAACTTTATTGTTGTCCACATTCGATCAAGAAATACCTTGTTATGGCCTAGGCCAATAAAAATTTTTATGAGGCAAGTAATTAGTTCGATTTTTCTCGCTAGGGGTATTGTTTTGATAAATTAATCATTTTCTAAGAAAGTAACGTACTAAACTGCTGTAATTGTTTTACTGTTAATGTTTAATATTTTTCATTAAATTATTGTAAAATTAAATATGAATAATAAAACAAAAAGTGAGGTTAGGCAACCAAGAAAACGCACGATTCTTTTTCTACGATTTAAATTATCTTTAAGTTTTAATTTGCTTTAAGTTTTCAGTGAAATTAAATGTTAAACACAGCTTAAACATTCCAAACTACCTATTTTTTAGATAAAAATACAAACAAATTGAAATTAGATACCTACCTATTTATTAAACAATTAATTGAATTCAATGTAATAGCAAAAATCCATTTCTACTTAAATCATGTAGCTAGGTATTGTCAAACTATTACTGCTTCTAAAAGCAATAATAATTATTGTACATTTAATGTAATCTTTAGCTAATAAATAAATGAGATTCTAAAAAAGTGAGGCTTTGATGTTGAATTAAATTGACCTATATAAAGTGCTTTGAAGATAAAATGTTGTATGCCATTCGGCCAAGAAGTGCCTTTTTGTGCTTCGCTCAATTGTAGGCCTCCGCTACGCTTCGGCCTTCAAACCTTGAGCTTAGCACAAAAAGCCTTACTTCCTAACCTAATGACATAAATAACTATTTCTTATTAAAAACATTTGCAATAAAACATACGTGGACATAACATTGATTTTATTCTATTTCTATTCTTCTTCTAATTATTCCTTTATTTGTTGTAGGTTCGATGCCGGGTGGACCTGGCATTCCCGAGAACATAACTGTCACGTTTTTGAACCCCACGTCTGTCAAAGTATCGTGGGCCACTTCCCACGAAAACGCTGACAAGTATGACGTCACCTACAAACCGACGGACGCCAGGTAAGAAGGAAACACGTTTTTTGTCTATCTATCTATAAACAACTTTGTCTTAACACTTTATTCGTATTTTCTATTACTTGTCTCGTCCAAAATTGTGTAAAATACAAAGCATGTGAAATTTACCTTTTACTTAAAAATTTTTTCATGAAAGCGTTTTTGAGATATGAATTTTCAATTATTGATTTTTTAAAAATTTTCTGAGGTGTTTTGACGTTTTAAAGTATACTTCGATTCGATTTGACCAAACGCACTTAAAGCACAATCAAAGGTAATTGAGCCCTCTACAACTTTTTCTTGTATAGTTTTGGTATCGGCTCAGTAGTTCGTTACTGGCGATTTTATGAAGTTAAAAAAGTCCTTTTTTTTACAAAAATCGAGGTCTAAAATTTACATATCTTTCTGGAAAAGATAATTCCAGTTTGATTTATTTTACGTATAGATTATACTTAAAGAAAAAAAATAAGCTGCTGTTGATAAAAAATTTTTAGTGGAAGGCCAAAATTCAGTTTTTCGAGATTTTTTACTTTTTATTGAATTATATAAAATTTCATATTGAACATTGATTTTTATTTTAAACATTAAATATTGAAATTAAATTATATATTGAATATTAAACAATAAATATTGAACATTGAAGAAATTGAAAGTTTTATTATGTTGTAATAAGCATAGGTTTAAAAAATTCTGGCTCCTTCTTTGTTTTTTGTTGCTTTCGTATTCCGTTTCTCGTATGAGGGACCAAATTTAATCACTCATCATGGCTGCATCCCAGAAGCCGTGATACCGCCGCTCCATAGCCTTCATTTGCTGGTGAAAACGTTCTCCGTGCTCATCACTTACGTCGCCCAGATTGTGCGGGTTATTTACGCACTCGAACTCTCTACTTCTTTTACTCATTTTACACTTTTTATTAACTAAATAAAACCATGATAAAAATACCTTGTTGAAATATCAAAAAATAGCAGTAAAATGTCACTATGCCAACACGAGAAACAAAAGAATTCACGTTTGCGGAGTCATGTCAAATTTAAATTTTGAATAATATTTTCGGTTAAAAAAGTACGTAAAAAACTAAAAAAATTCCAATAATGCACCTTATTTAGGTTTTCATTAAAGAATAAACATATTACAAAATAAAATAAAAATCGCCATTTTTCCATGTATTTTTATCAACATTAGCTTGTTTTTTTTTGTAAAAATGTCAGCTTAACAAACAAAAAATCAAACTGAAATTATCTGTTTGATTTAAACCTTTCCCTGGACGATATGTAAATTTCGACCTCAATTTTTGCCATAAAAACGAATTTTTTAAGTTATTAAAATCGCTAGCATCAAATTATTTTTCCAGTATTAAAAGTAGAAAGTTTTAGAGGGCTCAAATACCTTTAATTTAAGGGCTTGTTTGGCCAAATTGATAAATTAGATTTCAAGCCATACTCAAAAACGTCAAAACAAAAATTGAAAAAAAAGAATTAAAAATTCATATCTCAAAAACGCTTCCATAAAAAAAATTAATTGTGATTTTCGTGTTAAGTGGGTCAAAATGGGAAAATTATAAAGGGATATGGTTTGTCAGAATTTTTTTTCGATTTTGTAAACTACAAAATAATCGACTCACACAAATTTTCGATGAATTTCAATCGCAAATAACTTTTTTATTTGATGTCGGATTTAATCAAATATTAAAGAATATTGTAGATAAATTAATGGACAATCGCTCACATTTAAAAAAAATACTAAAAATAGACGTACGTTTATAATATACAGGTTTAAACAAGAAGATGTTTTTTACCATAAGTTTAAGACACTCTGTAGAGTGGCAAAACCGTATATTGTTCTAAATTAAGTTTTATTTATCAAGTCACATCTATTCTTAACAGTTTTGTTTTTGGTTCACCTCGATATATTTATTTTTGTGGAAAATATGGATTTTTTTAAAAAACATTGCAATTTCCAATATTTTTCCTGTATGAAGAACTAAGGTTGCTATGGTCCATCCATAGCCTATGGAGAATGACAGTGACAGTTTTGTTGCATCATCCCATACTTGGACATGTCATATACAGCTTTCAAAAGCTATCAAATTGTTTTTTGTTAATTAATGTGTTAATTTTGAGGTGTCTTCTTACTTTTAAAAATGTCTCCGACTGATGTTGCCCTTTGTACTTTACTTCTTATGACGTTTAAAACACTTGCCACGTGATACTGTGACCGTCCATCCTGGATTAAATTAATAGCTCTGGCAACATCAGTCGGAGACATATCCATTTTATAAAGTAAGAAGACACCTCAAAATTTAAACATTAATTTGCAAAAAACAATTTGATAGCTTTTGAAAGCCGTGTATGACATGTCCAAGTATGGGATGATTCAACAAAACTGTCACTGTCATTCTCCATAGCCTATGGATGGACCATAGCAACCTTAGTTCTTCATACAGAAAAATATTGGAAATTGCAATGTTTTTTAAAAAAATCCATATTTTCCACAAAAATAAATATATCGAGGTGAACCAAAAACAAAACTGTTAAGAATAGATGTGACTTGATAAATAAAACTTAATTTAGAACAATATACGGTTTTGCCACTCTACAGAGTGTCTTAAACTTATGGTAAAAAACATCTTTTTGTTTAAACCTGTATATTATAAACGTACGTCTATTTTTTAGTATTTTTTTTAAATGTGAGCGATTGTCCATTAATTTATCTACAATATTCTTTAATATTCGTTTAAATCCGACATCAAATAAAAAGTTATTTGCGATTGAAATTCATCGAAAATTTGTGTGAGTCGATTATTTTGCACGTGAGTGTAGTTAATTATATTTCTATTATTTTTTTATTATTATTTTCAAAAATGGCGAATGCGCCGGGTTTAAAATTATCAAGTTTACGTGACATTTAAAAAAACAAAAGTTAAATTGCCGCACCCTTTGGAAGTAAAAATCAACACTGCCACATTTTCATTGTTATTTTTCAACTGCAAAATCTTACTTTGCATAATACACTGATTTGAATTGTTAAAGTATAAAAAACTCACAACCTAAAACTAAACTTTGCTCCAGGATATCCTTAAAAGGAAATATAATTGTATATATACAATTTATAATCAAAATTTTCGATTTAACCAAATCTCATAAGAAGATTTTCAATTGAATCAGAGCTTCGAACTTTGCCAATTTGTATGAAATTTTCAATTCCGTTTTTATGAATGGAATGCTTGAAGGCAAAGCTGGCAAATTATGAATTAATTGACCCATAAATTGGAAACTTTGCATAATACCTACCCCCAAATTTAAGCTGAGCATTTCGAGAAGAACCATTTATTGCAGATGAAGTATTTCTATTTTTGTTAATCTTGTAAAATTATGATGAATAAAGTCGTTTTCATAAAAATGTGAAAAATTTCCTTTGTTAATGTAAGTGTTGGTATATACCTCAATTTTAATAAAATTAAAAGCAATATGCTCGTAAAAAATCGATAAAAACGTACTAAGATGGTTAATAGGACTTTAGAGTGCTTTATATGCATCATTTAATACAGTGTGGTTCATAAATAATACAAGTAGTAAACCCTTGACCGCTTTTGTGTTTGAAACTTTTATATTAACTTTTTGTCTTAATATCATTTATTAATTTAAAAAAAAATCGCTCTTGCCATTTTGCATTTTATTTTCTTAGGATGGTGTGAAGATTTATAAATAATTTTCCCTTGCTCAGGACCTTAATATCTAAAATAGGTACCTTGTTAAACCAGACTAATTTATGACTATTAGCAAATTAGCTACGCGTTGGTACATAATTAAAGAGCAGGCTTTAATTAATCTATAACGATCATAATCCACAGATCGATTTTTAAAGCTCCATTTTCTCGTAGCGTGTCACATATTTTTATAAGGAAAATGCATGGTTTAAAAAATTTAAATTAAAGATGAGAAAAATATCGATTAAACAATTTGTTGCACATAACAATGACAAAAAATCAATTTTGTTCGACTTTTCTTCTGTATACATATATGATTCTCCAATATTTTTGAATAAAATACTTGGTTTTATTTTTAAATTTATTTATTCACTTCGTTTTAATATTCTGCTAACACTGCTCTGGTATATTCCCAAATCTCTAGATAATTCTCGTGTGCTTGCGATGATGAGGATTAGCGGCCGTTGCTGCTAATAGATTAATTTCATTATTTCCACCTGTGTTGGTCAACAAACTCTTTTTTTCGGTTGAACACTCCCGTTTGTAGTAAACTGCTTGACTGTACGGTGAAATGAAGTACGTGATCGAATTTTTTCCGGAAAACACTGAGCGTAGATCAAGATTCCTGCCTGCTTCTCCATAAATCAAAATCATTTCTATTTTTTCTTCCACTGTTAAAAAATCCATTATAAATAACTGCTTAACGAAAAGAGGTCTTTTTGTTTGCAAATTAATCTTCGAACTAAATTGATTAAATAATGCTAAACTATGTATAAATAGTTTCTTTATTTCTCAAAAATAATTATTATTTATAACTAAATACCATTTTATACCTCAATTATGATTAAATTAATTAATTGACAAAATAATGTTTTTTTTACCTTAAAAGAGGTATTTTTATTAAAAATAGTACAATGATCTTTAAATTAAAGGATTTAATGCTGGTAGGTAAAAAGTGACCATGGTGCGCAATTGATAATCATTGATAATCACCGAATGAAATAATGTATAAAACTTAAACCAAAGGAAACTTAAATATTAGTTAAAAAATCGTGGTTACCTACTTAAAAAATCAGATTTAATTTAATAATATAATTATAATTACTATTAATATAATTAATATATTACCAAAAAAAGTGATTTTCGTTTCAAGTTAAATGACATCCTGTAATACAGGGCTTGTATAAACGTATTATATATATTTATTATGTTTTATAGCTTATACTGCCATTCAGTTGGGGTATACCTGGTATATGACAGTTAAACCTAGCTTATTTTGAAATTCATTATAAAGATTATTTATTTTAAAATTAAATCATTAAAGCTAGGTTTGGTTGACATTTATGTAAAATAAATGAATTACCTAATCTCTTAAAATGTTAACTTAAGCTAGGTGTAACTGACTTCCTGAGTTTCTTCCAAACAGATTATCAAGACTGACAAGACTAAAAGTAGTCTAGTATCTAGAAAAATCAAAAACCAATAAACACAAAAACTGTAATAAAATACACATTTTTGTTAGTTTAGAACACTGTATAGACCAGTGCAGAAGCCTTTAAAAATGGTAAAAAGAGAAAAAAAATAATAGTAGGATGAAACCCATTGGAAAAGGAGAAGAATATAATAAAAATTAAAGGAAAAATAAATTACGGGCGATCTGAGTTCGGGAAGTGGGTGGGGGGGGGGGGGGGTTTAAGGGTAAAAAATGGTTTATCTCGATTTCCGGCAAAACTAAAAGTCCTATGGAAAAAAGTCAAATGTCAAAGTTGCAGGTAATAAAAAGATCTACAACTTTTGTATTTACAATTTTTTCACATAACCTCAAAATTTATGTGAAAAATTCAAAAAACCAAGTTTTTGGTTTTTTATTTTTATCTTTTTCAAAAAAAAATTTTTTTCCACGAAATTTGGTGAAAACTTACCTTTTTATGTCCCAAATACAATGTAATTTATTTGATTTGAAATATTTATTATTTCGCCTTATTTTGACTTAATATCAAAAAAGCACCCTAATTTTCAATCGAAAATTCTCGCGTCAAAATATCAGCTTTTTTCAAAAAGTCGGTGTGCTTTTTGTTCGATGAACTCTCTACTTTCTGATGGTGTAAAAAAAATATACATTACTATTGTAAATGTTCTCAGAAAATACAAAAAATATTATAATGAATAACGTAATCAGAATGAAGTATCTAAATTCAATAGTATACTATATATACTATTGATATATGATTTACATGTATTTTTATATTTTATGAGATTTTTTGACATAAATGTTATTAGAATTTAATAAATAAACATTTTAACTAAAAAATATCAGCTTTTTTCAAAAAGTCGGTGTGCTTTTTGTTCGATGAACTCTCTACTTTCTGATGGTGTAAAAAAAATATACATTACTATTGTAAATGTTCTCAGAAAATACAAAAAATATTATAATGAATAACGTAATCAGAATGAAGTATCTAAATTCAATAGTATACTATATATACTATTGATATATGATTTACATGTATTTTTATATTTTATGAGATTTTTTGACATAAATGTTATTAGAATTTAATAAATAAACATTTTAACTAAAAAAAATTGCAACAATCACATTTTTTTGATGAAATTGTACATAATGATTAAAATAAATTTTCGAATTCGAGTTTTTTTCGTTATTCATTATAATATTTTTTGCATTTTCTGAGAACATTTACAATAGTAATGTATATTTTTTTTACACCATCAGAGAGTAGAGATTTCAACAAACAAAAAGCACATCGACTTTTTGAAAAAAGCTGATATTTTGACGCGAGAATTTTCGATTGAAAATTAGGGTGCTTTTTTGATATTAAGTCAAAATAAGGCGAAATAATAAATATTTCAAATCAAATAAATTACAGTGTATTTGGGACATAAAAAGGTAAGTTTTCACCAAATTTCGTGGAAAAAATTTTTTTTTTGAAAAAGATAAAAATAAAAAACCAAAAACTTGGTTTTTTGAATTTTTCACATAAATTTTGAGGTTATGTAAAAAAATTGAAATTACAAAAGTTGTAGATCCTTTTATTACCTACAACTTTGCCATTTAACTTTTTTCCATAGGACTTGTAGTTTTGCCGGAAATCGAGATAAACCATTTTTTACCCTTAAACCCCCCCCCTCCCACTTCCCGAAGTCAGATCGCCCGAAATTTATTTTCCCTTTCATTTTTATTATATTCTTCTCCTTTTCCAATGGGTTTCATCCTACTGTTATTTTTTTTGGTTTCAAAAATTATCGACCCTGGTCTAGTATGCCGGTAAGTCGCAATATGCAGATTATCTCGTTGACAATATGCGAACGCTTGCAAATTCGCTTGTTACGTGACCGAGTGGATGGATCCAAGACGCCTTTGTCGGTGTTACGGCTGTCACAGCCGCCCCTGAGACCGTCTCATGTCGCCTCCCGCGATACAGACCAGTGCGCGATCGACGGTCGCTCGGAACAATCGAAATCCTATCAAACGATTTGCGCAGTTTTTAAACAACAACGTCACATGTTTGGCATTTTACATACATATATGACATCGCGATTAAAAGTTTTTGAGATTTTAAAACTAAGGTAAGAGTAAGATAGAACTCAAAATTTTGCAAAAAAAAAGCAATAAGTCCTTTACTTTGCAACCTTGCTACATCTCACCACTATTTACATAGTATTTTTATATATAAACAACCATATTTAAAGTCTAAGAGTTGACTTTTAAATTATATTAGACTTTAAATATGGTAGATTCTATATATTCTCTTTAGAGCATATTTACAAATGAGATATTTATTCAAATTTAAATCATATTGATTAAGGATTTATTTATTTAAACCGTGCACATGATAATTGGATCTGAATTTACTTACGTGGGAGTAATGTAATAAATCTTATGCTATAAAACTTATGACAGTTATATTTATTTTGCAATTTGTAAGTTTACTTGAAGGTTTTCTAAAAAAACACCTTCTTGTGTTATATGGGTACGTAATTAGTAGTAGTAAAAGAAACCTTACACAGAATAACAAATAAATATACACATGTGTATAGTATTATGAAAATATAGGTTAATATACAAGGTGCCAAAATGTGATTAAGTTTTTTTTTTGTTTTGAGATTTTTTTAGAAATCTTAACTAATTTATGGTTTTTGAGTGTTTTTGAGAATAAAGCAGAAAATGTTAAAAAATATCGAAAAAAAACCGTGGCTCGATTTGCAGGAAATCCTGGGTTGAGTTTTTACCGGTTTTCCAATAAACAGTGTTAATCTGAATGAAGAAATCAATCGCATACAGTCTCTGTAAATATAAATTGTACCTATTAGATACAATAAATACACATTTTAGTAGTGATTAACGTGAAAAGTGTAAACATTTCAATTCAGTAAAAATCGTCAAACAAATAAGTCGTCTAAATTTAAACAGCATTTAGCATTATTAAAAGCGTTGATTAAGAAAGTCTCCACTCAACGGTAAAATAGCATTATATTATGTATTATATATAATATTATGTTGCCATAAATTCCTAGGTATATTTTGTTGTTTAAAATGCAGTTTTTTAGAGAACTCAAACATAAAAATAGTTGATTTAAAGGTTATGTCTGTGTAAAAATTATTTTATACTAATTTCTTAAAAATATCCAAACTTATATATGAATTATATTAGGTAAAGTTATCATTAGTTAATTCTGCACCAACAAATGTACTTACCGAATTGGATCCTTTGGCAAAACATGAAAATGCAACGATTTAGTTCTTGAATTTTATTTACAACTAAAAACACAGTAATTCACCATGATCCCTTAGATAAAATACACACACTAACGTTACTATATAAGCTTAATTAAGCGTTGAGTTTCTTAATCAATGATATAAGAAATAATCAATCGAAATTGATAGCGTATACAATAGAATTTATAAAATAATAATATTATGAACATTTATGAAAACATATTATAACAAAATAATTTTTGTTAATCTCTGTATCATTACAGTAAATTTTAAGGTCCTAAATTTAAAGTTATAACAATAAATGTATGTGAATGTACAAAATTATAATACATACCTATATTTTTTACTTTAAAAATATCCTAAATTTGTTACCTAAAAGTTTTCTCATATTGTATTTATTATTTATAAATGTCATACGGCTGGAAAGTTGGTATTATTTTTTATTTGAAATGACACTTCCCAGCAGAAAGGCATACAATGTTTTATCTTCAAGTCACAATTTTATTTTTAAACGATAAATAAAACATACAATTATAATAGTTATTAAAAATAGAAAGAGTGGTTACGTAGATCTTACTATTAAAGTTTTTTAATTAGTCCAAACGTGTTTTTTACAGATTAGGACGTAAAAACCCCTTTAGAACGCATTAAGATCAAATATTTATTAATTTCAAATATTTACCGAAAACAACTTTGTTGACAATGAATAAATAAATACAAAATAAGTAAACACCATGTTCTATTCATCTTATTTATCTTGTGGGGTAGATTTTTCAGTGTAAGAGTTATAGCCCCAATGAGCCAGGTCGTTAGTTACAGGGTGGTGGCGGTGGTTGCCGGCAATTCGGACGCTGTAACGCTAAGCGGCCTCAAACCCGACACTCAGTATCAAGTGACCGTGGCAGCCGTTTGGGCTGGCAAGAAGTATCGCAGCAGGCCCATAGTCTTCCGCACCCTGGGTAAGAAAGAACCTCTGCTATGTGTTATATGTATGCTCGAAGTGTATAGGAAGCATGTACGAAAGTTAATTTTTTCATTATTTTGTATTTGTAACATACACTCACAGGCAAAATAATCGATCCACACAAATTTTCGATGAATTTCATTCGCAAATAACTTTTTTATTTGATGTCGAATTTAAACGAATATTAAAGAATATTGTAGATAAATTAATGGACAATCGCTCACATTTTAAAAAATTACTAAAAAATAGACGTACGTTTATAATATACAGGTTTAAACAAAAAAATGTTTTTTACCATAAGTTTAAGACACTCTGTAGAGTGGCAAAACCGTATATTGTTCTAAATTAAGTTTTATTTATCAAGTTACATCTATTCTTAACAGTTTTGTTTTTGGTTCACCTTGATATATTTATTTTTGTGGAAAATATGGATTTTTTTTTAAACATTGCAATTTCCAATATTTTTCCTGTATGAAGAACTAAGGTTGCTATGGTCCATCCATAGCCTATGAAGGATGACAGTGACAATTTTGTTAAATCATCCCATACTTGGACATGTCATATACATCTTTCAAAAGCTATCAAATTGTTTTTTGTAAATTAATGTGTTAATTTTAAGGTGTCTTCTTACTTTTAAAAATGTCTCCCAATGATGTTACCCTTTGTACTTTACTTCTTGTGACGTTTAAAACACTTGCCACGTAATACTGTGACCGTCCATCCTGGATTAAATTAATGGCTCTGGCAACATCAGTCGGGGACATATCCATTTTTTAAAGTGAGAAGACACCTTTAAAATTTAAACATTAATTTTCAAAAAACAATTTGATAGCTTTTGAAAGCCGTGTATGACATTTCCAAGTATGGGATGATTCAACAAAACTGTCACTGTCATTTTCCATAGCCTATGGATGGACCATAGCAACCTTAGTTCTTCTTACAGAAAAATATTGGAAATTGCAATGTTTTTTAAAAAATCCATATTTTCCACAAAAATAAATATATCGGGGTGAACCAAAAACAAAACTGTTAAGAATAAATGTGAATTGATAAATAAAACCTAATTTAGAACAATATACGGTTTTGCCGATCTACAGAGTCTCTTAAACTTATGGTAAAAAACATCTTTTTGTTTAAACCTGTATATTATAAACGTACGTGTATTTTTTAGTAATTTTTAAAATGTGAGCGATTCTCCATTAATGTATCTACAATATTCTTTATTAATTGTTTAAATCCGAAATCAAATAAAAAAGTTATTTGCGATTGAAATTCATCGAAAATTTGTGTGGATCGATTATTTTGCCTGTGAGTGTATATATATGAAAAAATGTATTTTTTTACTATAGTGTCTACTCTTCTTTCTTCTATCATCAGATACATTTTTGTTTTGTATTGTCTTAACTAGTCAAGACTTACTAGATAAAAAAGAAAAAAAACAACCAAATATACCTAATAAATATTTTAATATTCAACTGAACATCCTTTATTTCAGTATTCTTTTTTATTTTAATCTCATTGCCATTCATGAAACATACATGTCTAGACTGTTAACAGGTTATGTGATCCTTCGAAGGGTAGTACACCCTTACAAAAAAATATTTTACTTAATTTCCAATACGCTACAGCATTTTTATTTTTATTTTAATGTTAAAAATGGCGAATGCGCCGGGATTAATTCTAAATTTTACCCGTTAGATAACTTTAAAGTTTTTGGCTTAAGTGCTTGGTGCCAAACTTTTAAAAAGAGGTACTTATGCAAAAAGTTGTGAATGCTTCCTTCATTTAAATCTGTAAACTTTTCTCTTCCCAAGTATTATGGTATCCACAGAAAGTTTGATTTTAAAAAGATTTGTATCAATTATGTTGGACTTAATTTTGATAGAATTAGTACAAGATTTTAAGAAATTCTTAAAAAAAGTAATTTAATTAATAAAGAACAAATTTAACCATTAAACTTTATTTAATTATTTTTTTATAAAAGAGACTGCAAAACTTGAACAAAAGATAATTTAATTATTACTTTACCTTCTTCTTAAGTTCATTTTTGGTAATTTAAGAAACAAAAAAGTTTCTTCAGTCAATTAGAGCCCCAGTAACTTTATAAAGTTAGTATTGGATATTTATTGAGTTTTATTATTTAGAAAAATAACTGGTTTTAAAAAAAAGTTAAACACCCCAGCAATTTTTAATTGGGTCTATACAGAACAAACTTTTTTGTTTTAAAGCTCTATTATTCTCTAATTATTCTTATATGTTAACACTAAAGTATTAAAGAATTTTATTCTGCGAATTAAAAATATCATGGTAGATATTTAAAAATTTAATTTAATTTTTAGTGAATTTTTAGTGAATCTGTCTTTATTATTTTATTCTTATACTTGTAGTTTTAAGTTAAACACATACTTTTAATTTGCCAAATTAAAAATATCACAGGAGAATTTTTTATATTTATTTTTATTATATTTTTAATTCATTTTAATTTTTATTTTTTAAAATAAGCAAATATTTTTAATTAATTGAATGTTATAATTTTAATTCAGAATGAAAGTTTGGACACCCCTGGCATTCCAAACTAATTTTGTCGCTAGATGGCGGCACAATCACAAAAATATCACATTTAATTAAAAATATCTAATTATTTAATAAAATAAAAATTAAATCAAATTTAAAATATCTCCTATGATATTTTTAATATATTTAAAAAATATTTTATAAGAATTTTATTCTGCGAATTAAAAATATCATGGTGGATATTTAAAAATTGAATTTAATTTTTAGTGAATCTGTCTATATTATTTTATTCTTATACTTGTAGTTTTAAGTTAAACACATACTTTTAATTTGCTAAATTAAAAATATCACAAGAGAATTTTTTATATTTATTTTTATTATATTTTTAATTCATTTTAATTTTTATTTTTTTAAATAAGCAAATATTTTTAATTAATTGAATGTGATATTTTTAATTCAGAATAAAAGTTTGGACACCCCTGCCATTCCAAACTAATTTTGTCGCTAGATGGCGGCATAATCACAAAAATATCACATTTAATTAAAAATATCTAATTATTTAATAAAATAAAAATTAAATCAAATTAAAAATATCTCCTATGATATTTTTAATATATTTAAAAAATATTTTATAAGAATTTTATTCTGCGAATTAAAAATATCATGGTAGATATTTAAAAATTTAAATTAAATTTTTAGTGAATCTGTCTATATTATTTTATTCTTATACTTGTAGTTTTAAGTTAAACACATACTTTTAATTTGCTAAATTAAAAATATCACAGGAGAATTTTTTATATTTATTTTTATTATATTTTTAATTCATTTTAATTTTTATTTTTTTAAATAAGCAAATATTTTTAATTAATTGAATGTTATATTTACACCCCTGGCATTCCAAACTAATTTTGTCCCTAGATGGCGGCACAATCACAAAAATATTACATTTAATTAAAAATATCTAATTATTTAATAAAATAAAAATTAAATCAAATTAAAAATATCTCCTAGGATATTTTTAATATATTAAAAAAATATTTTATAAGAATTTTATTCTGCGAATTAAAAATATCATGGTAGATATTTAAAAATTTAATTTAATTTCCAGTGAATTTTTATTGAAACTTTCTTTATTTTTTTTATTCTTATACTTGTAGTTTTAAGTTAAACACATACTTTTAATTTGCTAAATTAAAAATATCACAGGAGAATTTTTTATATTTATTTTTATTATATTTTTAATTCATTTTAATTTTTATTTTTTAAAATAAGCAAATATTTTTAATTAATTGAATGTGATATTTTTAATTCAGAGCGAAAGTTTGGACACCCCTGGCATTCCAAACTAATTTTGTCGCTAGATGGCGGCACAATTACAAAAATATCACATTTAATTAAAAATATCTAATTATTTAATAAAATAAAAATTAAATCAAATTAAAAATATCTCCTATGATATTTTTAATATATTTAAAAAATATTTTATAAGAATTTTATTCTGCGAATTAAAAATATCATGGTAGATATTTAAAAATTTAAATTAAATTTTTAGTGAATCTGTCTTTATTATTTTATTCTTATACTTGTAGTTTTAAGTTAAACACATACTTTTAATTTGCCAAATTAAAAATATCACAGGAGAATTTTTTATATTTATTTTTATTATATTTTTAATTCATTTTAATTTTAATTTTTTAAAATAGGCAAATATTTTTAGTTAATTGAATGTGATATTTTTAATTCAGAATGAAAGTTTGGACACCCCTGGCATCCCAAACTAATTTTGTCGCTAGATGGCGGCACAATCACAAAAATATCACATTTAATTAAAAATATCTAATTATTTAATAAAATAAAAATTAATTCAAATTAAAAAGATCTCCTATGATATTTTTAATATATTTAAAAATTTCTCCCATGGTATTTTTAATTTAACGAATTAAAAATATGGGTTTAACAAAAAAATACAAATATAAGAAACAGATATCTTGAATTTACTAAATTAAAAATATCAGTTTAACATAAAAATAAAAATTAAATCTAATTTTTAAATATCTGCTATAATATTATTAATTTGCAGGATAAAATATCTTATGTGATATTTTTTATCTAATTGAAAATATCACTCTAGTTTAAAAACATAAAAATAAAACTGCGCCCCATAAAGGTGGGTCACGTACAAATTTAAGCTGCCTAAAACAAAGATCTTGATATTTAGTATCGATGTGCTTTAGCTGTCTTTATGACCTATTTGCGACTTGTGCGTAGAGCATCTGTGTGTTCCAGAACATCCAAGGTCATCACCCCAACAGGACCCAGTCATGGCCTCCTACCCCACCGAAGCCCCCCATCAGCCCAAAGAGCCCAGCCAAGCCCAGCCGCAGGACAACGTGGAATATCCCCAAACAAGTTCAACGGTAAGAAATTTACGTTTAGGTACTATGCTCCACACCTCAAAGTCCCACCACGTGACCACGTACGGAACGCAGTCTTTTGAAAATTTGGCATTTAAGGCTTTTCAGGTTGTGTATCTATCAAAGTATAGTCAACGAAAGAAATAATATTATGTTTAGGCGTTAAAAATGTATAAATCTTGATAACATTACAATAAAAATGGATGGTTTAAGAATTTAACAATATAAATACTGCATTTAATGAAATTCTAAAGTGTATGGTGCCAAATAAGTAATATTTTTGTGCATTTGGTCCAAATATCTGGTTTTCTCCATAAAATAATTTTAACCAAACAGCATTTATTTAAAAAAATCTAGCTTCTCTATTATGGAATAAGAATATCTATATTAAAGGTAGGTTAATATATTATAACAAAAATATCATCTAATTTTGTAATTTTAAGGTTAGAAAAATTTATTTTGACCAAAATAAATAAGTATTTTGGATTATTTAAAAGACTGTATAATATGGTATTTAAAAATGTGGTAGTTTTTCTTATCCAGCTTAAAGTGTACCTACATAAAGTTTTGTCAATACAAGTAGTTAAAAAGCTTCGACTGAATTTGATCTACATCAAAAAATCATTATAACTTTAAAAATTTTAATAAATAACATGTCATGGGAGTATTAAATATTTTCACATTGCAAGTTTCTCTAAAAATTGTTTGTTTTCTTATAATCTAACTTAAAGTAAGTATGCCGAGAGGTATGCACAAGTTTTGTCATTAGAAGTATAAAAGCTTCAATTTAATTTGAACTATATTCAACAATTATTTAGTATACCTATATTTATTTATGACCATATTAACACACTCTTTCAAATAATCCACTTATTTATTTTGGTCAAAATAGATTTTTCTAACCTTAAAATACAAAATTAGATGATATTTTTTGTTCTAATACATTAACCTACCTTTGATACAGATATTCTTATTTCATAATAGACAAGTTAGATTTCTTTTAATAAATGCTGTTTAGTTAAAACTATTATATGGAGAAATGTAGACCCAATGCACAAAAATATCACTTATATTGCACCTTACACTTTGGAATTTCATTAAATGCAGTATTTATATTCCTAAATTCTTATACATTGTTATTGTGATACTATAAAGATTTATTAACTTTTAACGCTTAAACATAAGCGGTAACACTATAAATATTATTTCTTTCATTGACTATACTTTGACAGATACATAACCTGAAAAGCCTTAAATGCCAAATTTTCAAAAGACTGCGTTCCGTACGTGGTCACGTGGTGGGACTTTGAGGTGTGGAGCATAGTACCTATTTTATTTTTGGTGTGAAAGGGTTATTAATATGGGTTATAAATTAAAAGTTACTTGTAGGGCATTAAATTTTCTATAAAAATATTTTTGTGTACCAAAACTCTTTTGCACCAAAAACTGTGTTTTCCTCTGTAATTTCCCATTGTTTACGAATTTTTTTATGAAAAAGGTATCATACGAAGATATAGTGGAATACCCCCAAACTAGCTCAGTGGTAAGTTACCAAATGAGTTAAAAAATTGTAGAAAAAATCACAAGCTTTAGTTTTTAGTTGAAATAGAACAATCACAACCCGAAATCTGCAAATAATAGAACTAGTTATAGCTGAATATTCGTGTTTATAATTACTTGACGGTTTGGTTTAATTTGCAAAGTTTTTAATAGAATTTCAGCAGTATATGTTATTAAGAACAAAAATAAACTAAATTACAACACTGCAGTTTTTGAATCATAGCGTGATATCCCGCATTACATATCTCGATATATAATCTGTTTTATTTTCAACATTTTGCATTAATATTTTAATATTTAAATATGTGTTGCAAAATTTTTAAGGACATGAGTCATACACAAAAATTTTAAAAAACTAAAGGGCGCACTAACCAAAAGTTACAAATAAAATTTTCGAAAAGAAGTTTTTGCTGTAGATCAGTGTAATTTGCAAAAATGGCGAATGCGCCGATATAGATTTTTTATTTTTCTTTGTAAGTATAACATAACATTTATTAACTCCTAAATAAATAAAACACTTCCAAAAAAAATTTTCGTACATAATAACATGTCTGTAATATTTTATTTGCCACTCTATTGTCTGTATATTATGTTTAACTTAACCCTAAAATAACAAATTAAATTAAGCTTAATACTTTTACCTTCACGCCCAGGGCTATATTTACTCGCACATAATCAAAATTCATTACCACTCTCTGGACTGATATCAATGGTTATTTCTCCTCTGAATAAATAAACAACTAGACGACCCAAAGCAAGCGTTACAATCATCATTTATTTACGAATGTTCAATCGGCTTACATAGGTCGCAAATCCCTTGTTTTTTCTGTTGAGTCATTTCAAGCCACTAATGAAATGGTTAAGACGAGTTTATTAGTTTTAAGGTATTTTTGGATAGGATTTACATTTTACTTTTTCTTAACCCCGCCCTTAAGTTAGGTAAATTTATATTATAAAATATTTGATTTTTTTAAATCAGCTTTTGTAAATAAATTTTTGTAAAAAAAAATTATTTACGTGGTTTAAAAAAATTATACATTTATACAGGGTGTCCCAGGTTTAATTAGCGTTTTACAGAGTTTTACAATAATTTGACTTTTGAACTAATACTGATTAATATGAAGTCTTTTTATATAGAAAATTATACCCATGAAAAAAATACAATTTAAAAAATCTGAAAAAAATTGCCTGAAAATATTTAAAAAATATCAGGTTTTTCTTAAACATCTTAAAACTTAAAACAAAGTATTTATAAATTTATAAACTATTATAAAGTATTTAAAACTATTGAAAAATATTCCAAAACAAATGAGACTTTTTAAAATGTCCTAAAAACCGCCCTTACTGTCTAAAGTATCTAAAATATACCATTTAAAAATTGTAAAAACTGTAATATATATATATATATATATATATATATATATATATATATATAATATATATATATATATATATAATATGATATTTTAAATATTTCAGACACTGTTGTTTACATGCTATTTTAAAATGGTTTTGATTGGTTCTAGATTTATCTATCTATCTTTAAGGGGTTGTGAATCCAGTGCCGTGCATAGATTTAAAAAAAATCGCTAATATGAATTCCTAAAAATTTACTCGATTTACTCTAAAAACTGACATAGTACTCTATATGAATTAGTCAAAAATGACTAATTTAATAGTTATTGGCTTTTTCACTTGTACCATGGTTAACCATGGAATACCAGGGTATTTCAATTCCTATTTAAAATTGTCCACTAAATCCGAAAATAGCGTCAAAAATTATGAAAGTAAAGCAGTTTTTGAGATTCCATATTAAATGGAAAATTGACTATATCTTAAAAAATGTTCTACTTTTTTAACTTTTGAAGACATTTTCGGATTCAGGGGAAAATTTTACATAATAATTGGGATACCATGGTTTTCCATGGTTAATCATGGTACAAGTGAAGAAGCAGCCACTAATAACTATTAAATTAGTCATTTTTGACTAATTCATTTTTAGAGAGTAGGTTTTTTATTTTATAAAAATTAGGCGTTTTTTTTGCTTCAAAAATACACTTTATAAAGATTTTACAGGGGTGAGTCGCAAACAAATGGGTCACACTTTATCTACTATTTTTTTAAGACTTTAATGAGAATTATCATAGAGATTTTAAAAAATCATTTCTAGGTTAGTTTCAACTGATATGATAACATTTTCTTTTCATTTTTGTATGGATAATTTGACTTTTGAACTAATACCAATTAATTTGAAGTATTTCTATATAGAACTATTATACTATGATAGTTTGAATTACTAACATTGAGTATTGAGTCCAAAATAGATTTAAGGCAATATAATTTAATAAATAATCAAAGTATTAACGAAAAAACTTTTGATTTAAGATAATTGGGCAAAGCATTTTATTACTAAATTATTTCAAATCCTAGACGTCCTAGAGCAAAACGAGTAACATTTTTGAAGTTAACAATTAGTTAAACTAGACCGTAGTACTTAATGTTGGAAAAAAAAATTTAAAACTATCATACCCTGAAAAAATATAAAATTTTAAAATATCTGAAGAAAAAAATGTTTAAAAATATTCCAAAAATATCAGATTTGTCTTAAATTTCTTAAAAACTTTTTTTAAACAAAAATCCATAAACCGTCTAAAACTATTAAAAAATATTCTAAAACAATGTAAAATTCTTAAGGCTTTCTAAAATAATCTAAAATACTTCTTACTGTCTAAAGTATTTTAAATATACCATTTGGGAATATAAAAATAATAAAAGCAATTTTAGAATAATTCTAAAATTGCTTTGAGACATAAACAATATAATTTAATAAATAATCAAAGTATTAAAGAAAAAACTTTCGATTTAAGATAATTGGGCAAAGCATTTTATTACTCAATTATTTTAAATCCTAGACGTCCTAGAGCAAAACGAGTAACATTTTTGAAATTAACAATTAGTTAAACTAGACCGTAGTACTTAATGTTGGAAAAAAAAAAATTAAAACTATCATACCATGAAAAAATATAAAATTTTAAAATATCTGAAGAAAAAAATGTTTAAAAATATTCCAAAAATATCAGATTTGTCTTGAATTTCTTAAAAACATTTTTTAAACAAAAATCCATAAACCGTCTAAAACTATTAAAAAATATTCTAAAACAATGTAAAATTCTTAAGGATTTTTAAAATAATCTAAAATCCTTCTTACTGTCTAAAGTATTTAAAATATACCATTTATGAATTGTCAGAACTGTAAAAAAATGTCCCAAAATATAAAAATAATAAAAGCAATTTTAGAACAACTCTAAAATTGCTTTGAGACATAAACAATATAATTTAATAAATAATCAAAGTATTAACGAAAAAACTTTCGATTTAAGATAATTGGGCAAAGCATTTTATTACTCAATTATTTCAAATCCTAGACGTCCTAGAGCAAAACGAGTTAGTTAGAATTAGTTAAACTAGACCGGAATACTTAATGTTGAAAATTTTTTTTAAAACTATCATACCCTGAAAAAATATACAATTTCAAAATATCTGAAGAAAAAAATGTTTAAAAATATTCCAAAAATATCAGATTTTTCTTAAATTTTTAAAAAACTTTTTTTAAACAAAAATCCATAAACCGTCTAAAACTATTAAAAAATATTCTAAAACAATGTAAAATTCTTAAGGCTTTCTAAAATAATCTAAAATACTTCTTACTGTCTAAAGTATTTTAAATACAGGGTGTTTCTTTTAAATTGAGACAGCTCAATATCTCGTGAAATATGCATTTTACGGAAAAATGTCTTAAATAAAAGGTGAATGTGACCAAAGGGGGCATTATTTGGTGCTACCGCTAGCCACCCCCTACCCCTCCTTAAGTGTGAAACGGGGGGTAACTTTGGAAAGTCAAAAGATATGACCCGATTTTTTTTACAGATTTTGGTAGAACATAAAAAAATGAATAACTTTTATTTGAAAGTTTTTTTCAATTTATCAACAGATGGCGCTGTTATTCAAAATTTAAGAAAAAGGGGTTTCCTTGTAAAATGTATTATTTGAAACGTTTGAAAAACAAAAATTAACATTAAATCAACAATAGTCGGTTCTGAAAACAATTTATAACAAATGTTTAAAATGTCGTCCTTCCATTTCGACACCAAGTGGAGCACCAGCGTCCCTGGTCGGTAAACGTTTGGTGCGGTACCTTAAGCGAACTATTAATCGGACCCTTCTTTATTGACGGTGCATTAAATGGCGAAAAGTACCGGAATTTTCTAGAAAACGATCTGACGGACCTTTTGGAGGATGTACCACTAGCACGGCTCCAAAACATGTGGTACCAGCAAGATGGTTGTCCTGCACATTATTCATCAATTGCTCGAGAGGTGTTGGATCGGGAGTTCAATGGCCGGTGCACCGCGGTGGATCGGTAGACGTGGTCCAGTAAATTGGCCTGCTCGATCACCTGATCTTACGCCACCAGACTTCTTCCAGTTACTTGAAAGAAAAAGTTTACGCTGCAATTCCTACAACTTGGGAGGACATGGTGGAGCGGATGAGGAACGACATGTTGGCGCGTTGTGTGCCAGAATTCATTACCCGCATTAAAAAATGTGTTGAAATGGAATGGCGACATTTCGAACATTTGTTATAAATTGTTTTCATAGCCGACTATTGTTGTTAATGTTAATTTTTGTTTTTCAAACGTTTCAAATAATACATTTTACAAGGAAACTCATTTTTCTTAAATTTTGAATTACAGCGCCATCTGTTAATAAATTGAAAAAAGTTTTAAATAAAAGTTATTTATTTTTTTATGTACTACCAAACTCTGTGAAAAAAATCGGGTCATTCTATTTGACTTTCCAAAGTTACCCCCCGTTTCACCCTTAAGGAGGGGTAGGGGTGGCTAGCGGTAGCACCAAATAATGTCCCCTTTAGTCACATTAACCTTTTATTTAAGACATTTTTCCGTGAAATGCGTATTTCTCGATATATTGAGCTGTCTCAAGTTAAAAGAAACACCCTGTATACCATTTGGGAATATAAAAATAATAAAAGCAATTTTAGAATAATTCTAAAATTGCTTTGAGACATAAACAATATAATTTAATAAATAATCAAAGTATTAACGAAAAAACTTTCGATTTAAGATAATTGGGCAAAGCATTTTATTACTCAATTATTTTAAATCCTAGACGTCCTAGAGCAAAACGAGTAACATTTTTGAAATTAACAATTAGTTAAACTAGACCGTAGTACTTAATGTTGGAAAAAAAAAAATTTAAAACTATCATACCATGAAAAAATATAAAATTTTAAAATATCTGAAGAAAAAAATGTTTAAAAATATTCCAAAAATATCAGATTTGTCTTGAATTTCTTAAAAACATTTTTTAAACAAAAATCCATAAACCGTCTAAAACTATTAAAAAATATTCTAAAACAATGTAAAATTCTTAAGGATTTCTAAAATAATCTAAAATCCTTCTTACTGTTTAAAGTATCTAAAATATACTATTTAAGAATTGTCAGAACTGTAAAAAAAATGTCCCAAAATATCGTCTAAAAATATTTTAAAATATACTAAAACTATCTCAAAGCAATTTTAGAATAATTCTAAATCTGCTTTGGTTACATGATACTTTAAAAAGTTTCTAAGATACTATATAAAAGTATCTAAGATACTTTTGAGTAACTAAGATACTTTTAAGTAACTAAGATACTTTTGAGTAACTAAGTTACTTTTAAGTATGAATAACAACTATAAAATTATGAAAATTCAACAAGTTGTAGGTTAGGTAATCACTGAAAAGTATCTAAGTTACTTTAAAAAGTTTCTTAGTTACTTTAAAAAGTATCTTAGTTACTTTAAAGTTTCTAAGTTACTTTAATGTATCTTAGTTACTTTACCGAGTAACTTGAATACTTTTTTAGATACAAGTTACAAGATACTTTTCCAAAGTAACTTAGTTAAATATACTTTCTGTCCAATATAAAAAGTATCTAAGATAAAGTATCTTAGATACTTTAAGTATCTAAGTTACTTTCAAGTATCTTTTTTTTCAAGATACTCCCAGTTCTGACCACCTACAATATTGTTTCAGGTTCGAGGCGTAGAAATAGGCATAGTGCTCCTGGTGCTGGTAGTGTGGATAGCAGCTATAGCGCTGTTCTTCAACCGCTGGGGCAAGATCCGCATGCTGCTTCCCTATCAGCCTGACTATAAGCATGAACAGTTGAAAGTTCCCGGAACTGCAGCCTGCGCGGCCGCTGTTGCCTCCGGGAACACTTGCACCCATCACTCTGGCGAGCACATTTGTCAACAGGTGAGAGAACGTTCCTCGTACTACTAAGAGAGTGAACTTTGTAGTGGGGTTATTAAAGTTGTCTATTGGACTGTTTCATAAAATGTTTTATATATACACTAGGGTGAAGCGAAAAAAAAAATTTTTGAAAAAAAAAAAATTTTACTCAACGTTTTTGAGGTGGCCCACTGATTTTTTAAATTAAATTTAAGTTAAAATTCTTTTGAATAAAAAAAAAATTTTGGCCTGTAATCTTCAAATTTATCTAAAAATAAACAAATTTGATCGTGTTCAACTCGAAATTCGCTCTATTGCCTCAGAAAAGCATGTTACTATTTTGGAATTTTTTTAAAAACAACAATAATGACCACAAAAATTTTTTGAAATTTGTTTTTTATTCAAAAGAATTTTAACTTAAATTTAATTTAAAAAATCAGTGGGCCACCTCAAGACGTTGAGTAAATTTTTTTTTTTTTCAAAAATTTTCTTTTTTTATAGGCTACAAATTCCACCCCCAGGCTAAGGAAAAAAAAAAATTTTTTTTCGCTCCACCCTAATATACACTGTGTTCACAAACTTGATCCAGTTGGTAAAATAATTTATTTTTATTAATTCATAACCTCTGTATAAAAACATATTTACCAAAAAAACTCCATGAAAAATTTTAACAGATTTTAAAAACAAAGCTTAAAAAAACGTACCCGTATCTCACCGTTTCACGAAATCACGTCATTTAATTTTTTTACACAGCCATTCTTATTATTTTAACCCAAACAGATTTTTAATTCTCTATTTTGTTATAAATCATTTTTTTTCTTCAAATATTTTATGTTTTTACATAATAACAAAATTATACTTAAGGAAAATAACAATTTTATTTTTTTTAAGTAAAAAAAAATTTCTGGTTTTAATTTTTCATTTTTTTTTTAATAAAACAACAGATTTGTATTTACCTTATATTAAATATATGTTGGAAACAAATCTTGATCTTTTAGTTTGACGATTATACATTGCTCTCGAATCTATAGTGGTAGCACAACCTAAAAACACCACTTGATATACAGGGTGTTTCACATTCGTGGTCCATTGGAAGTTTCTGGAGAACGGAAAAAAATATAGATTTGAAATTTGAAAGCGTTTATAAACCATTAGGTCTATTTTTTTTAAATATTTTGAACAAAATGCAACTTTCGGTTTGACCGGAAGTGACATCAACATTGTTATTTAAAATAAAACACCCCATATATTTTTACATTTTTAAAATCTACATAAAATTCTGAGTAAAATTACTATACCATGTCCTATACCTAAAGTGAATAGTTTTCTAGATGTTGCTATTAGGTTTACGGTTATGGGCGTAAAATGCTAGTAATCTTAAAACATTGTTTAAAAAATTCCATGTCAATTCTTTAAAATTTTTCAACAAATTACCCGAGAAACCCCAGGGCAAATTGAGCTAACTTGAAACGTTAATAACTTTTTTATTTTAAATGTAACACCTGGTATGTTAAGAAATTGATATGGAATCTTTTAAACAATGTTTTAAGATTCCAAAAATTCCACCCCCATTTCTGCAAACCTAATATCAAGAAAGTTATAGGCTATTTTTGATTGACGCGCATTTGTCATATTTTAACTTCAAAACTATTTACTCTAGGTATAGGACATGGTACAGTAATTTTACTCAAAATTCTATGTAGAATTTAAAAATGTAGAAATACATGGGGTGTTCCATTTAAAATAACAAAGTTGATGTCACTTCCGGTCAAGCCGGAAGTGGCATTTTGTTTAAAATATTTTAGAAAAATAGGCTAAATTGGATTATAAAAGCTTTAAAAATTTTAAATCGATATCTTTTGCCGTTCCTCAGAAATTCTCAATGGACCACGAACGTAAAACACCCATATTTCGTAAATGTGCAACACCCTGTATATAATTAAAATAATTTTAAAATAAATAAATAATCTTAATGGTTGTCCATTTATTCAGTGAATAAATTTTTCATAAAAATATACTGTCTAGATATTAAAATCTATAGAAATTTTTAATGGGAGGGAAAAAATCAAATTTTGTGTAATATAGTATAATATTAAAGCATTTTATTAAACAGGTCTGATAATTTTAGTAACTACCTAACTTAACGATTTTTAATTAGGAATATGAATAATTTATACTTAAATGAGAAATTTAAATTTCATAATCAAGCAAGATATTTTAATTAAAATAATTTAAATTTTTCATTTAAGAGTTATACATTAGCTTCCTTTTTTATTTTTTATTTTCTTTAAGCCATTAAAAAATTACTTATCAGCTTAGTTATCATCTATTTTACCGATGTATTTATCATATAAAAAAATATTATTAATTAATAAAATGAATAAAACACAAAATTAATTATTTAAAATGATGGATACATTTGATAATTTGTGTAAAAAGTTTTCACACTATGTAAATATATTTTAATAAATATAAACTTTTTATGCAAATGTAATTACAAACAAACCGAACTGAAACTTTATTAATTTATGAAAATACAGAATATTTTGCAATTTAAATAATAGTTTACACAGACGAATTGAACCAAAAACATTTTAAATAAACGTTCAATACTTTTCGGGAATTTCCTTTGACAATGAAATACAACCCCTTTTATGTTAAAAAACCTTTTCGTGATCTTTTATGTCAAAGAATTTATTTGAGTGCCCAAAAGTCTTTAAAAGGCTTAAATTACTTACCTTAATCGAGTTTTTTAAGGCCGAGGAGTTCAAAACAGTAGAATTACATTGAAAGTGACATTTTTCACTTCCAGTTTGATAATAATTTTTAAATCAAAAGTTGTATTTGTTATATTTGGGCTAAAAAGGATAATTTTTAATAATTACTTAATTACCTAAAATTATTTAATCTTTTTAAATATTGTTTTACATTTTTTCTAATGTTTAGAATTATGTTGAGATTTAAACGGTACACTGGATTTTTTGAAATTGTTACTTTCAATTTAACAATTTTTCGCGAAATAAATCTTTTCTTTATACGTTGTCTTTTTTTAAAGGAATCAGGATTTTTTAACCTCTCTCTAAAAATAAATTAATCAAAAATGACTAATAATTAATAACTATTATTGTCATGGCGAAATAGCAGCCACTAATATTTCTCGTCAATAGCAATTTGTATTCCGAACATTTAGCAGTCAATTTCCATGTAAAATTGTCCCCTAAATCCGAAAATGTCGTCAAAAGTTAAAAAAGTATAACAGTTTTTGATATACTTTAAAATTTCCAATGGAACACCCTATTTTTTATTGCAGATTCGGATCATTCGACTAAAAATAGGTAGATTTTGTCTAAAACATTTTTTCATATTTGTAATATATGGCACTGTAATGAAAAAAAATCTATTTTGTTCTATTTTTCCTCTGTATACGATTCTCCAAGTTACCCCCTGTTTTAATTAAAAAAAAAATTTTGACTCACGGCCATTTCAAGCGGATGGACGGGACAAATCACAAAACTGTTTTTATAAAAAAAATTGTAGCTAATTTATTATATATTATTTTTGCATCAAAATTGTCAAATATATTCTTCTATTATTAGGGTATACATTAAATAAAAAAAATCGCAAGAAATATTTTATAAAAGTAGAGATAATTTTAATAATTGACAGGGATGGACGGGACAGGATAAATCTTTTTTTTTCCCGTCCACACCTTTCAATTATTAAAATTATATCTACTTTCATAAAACATTTCTTGAGTTTTTTTTATTTAATGTATAACCTAATAAAAGAAGAATATTTTTGACAATTTTGATGCCAAAATATTATATAATAAATAATCTACAATTTTTTTTATAAAAACAGTTTTGTAATTCGTGCGTTTCGCGCGCTTGAAATGGCCGCTCACCCTGTATAATCAATTTTCTATATAATTTTTGACAGTATTTTCAAAATCAGGGGAGAATTTTATATAAGAATTGGCTGGTAAATATTGGGCGTATCAAGGTATTCCATGGTTAACCATGGTATAAGTGAAAAAGCAGCCACTAATAACTAGTCATTTTTGACTAATTCATTTTTAGTGTGGTGATAAAGCTTTAATAATATTTCGTTATTTTTAATTATTAACTAATAGGTCAACGAGATTTATCAGCAGATATTTCTTATTAATTAAACCTCAGAATTGCTTCACCAAATCAGATTTCCGAGAAATTCTAACCCAAAAGTAAAAACGCAGTTTTTTTCAATATTCACGTAGTATCACAGTGCAGTCTTAAACAAAGGTTTTAAAACTGAACGAGTATTTTAAAATGTTTGTTACAAGCTGTTGTAGCCCATATCCACCATCATAATCAACAAAAAACAATAGAATCTCAACCAAGCTTTCACTAGAATCAAAAAATCAAAATTAATTTTTTTGAAAAAATTCACCCAGTGCAAAAAACGTAAAAGGGAAAGGCTACGATTGCTTTCGAAGCCCAAGCCGGTTAACTATCCGGTGTGCACTTGCGGCGTGTCGCAACCGGTCATGGAAATGGGCTACTTGACCGATATCGAGTCTGACTAAGCCCAACCACTACTACCACCAACAGTTACATACAAACACCACAAACTCTACAAAACTTAACTTTTAAGGTGATTTGCCTAGAATACACACATAGAGCCACCCAGCCAGTAGCCTAGGCACTTTAGGTTTTATTATAGTCCCAGTATGTATTTAAAGAGGTAGTGTTTCTTACTTATCATTACTAAAACTTTACTGTTATCTTAAGTCTGCAGGCTTACGTCTTAAGATTATAATGGAATTGAGACATATCATATCAATTTGGTTGGTTTATACATAGGTATATTTATAGGTATATTCGTAATTCTTGACACATTTGAATCTTGCGTTTTTAAATATATACTGGGACTCTAAAAAACTTATGGCGACTGGACTAAACCAATAATTTAGCTGATGATTGTGAATGTCTTGATGCACGTAACAAATTTACATAATGAAGGGCATGCCATGACTTTGACAGATTATATATATTTACATAACCTACAATTACATTTTATATTTACATAACCTACAATTTAACTGTCACATTTGCCGTTTTACTTGCAAAAATGGCGAATGCGCCGGGATTATTATTCAAACACCTGCATTATGTAATTTTGTACATATCGATCATATTTTGATTAATATAGACGACCACAAAAGCACAAAATAGTTTTTACGATCTTTTTCTCTTTCTCTATCTCTTTCTTTCTAGACTGCCCTAATTGCTAAAGTCTTCTAAAACATAATAAAATAAATAAAATAAAGCTTTTTAATGAATTCTTTTTAATGTTTATTGATATTATTTAATTTATGTTTTTGTTATAATTCCTAACTATTATTTTTAAATGCTTCTTAATTATTTATAATTTTTATTTTTCTTTGGTAATTTCCCTATTATTTTCACTTAATTGATCATTAAGTTTCTTTATTCTTTTTAAACTTTATATACCAGGTAATACTTAAATTATTAATAAAAGCAGCTTTAATTTTCTTTTGTTTATTTAGTTCTGTAATGTTCGTAGGTATATTTTTATTTATTCAATTTAATAAAAATATATTGCGTTTTACTCATAAAAAGAGTATAATTCTATTTCTGAATAAAATTCAGACATTGGGCAAAATCAAAATTTTATATTTTATAAAACATACACATTTATTTGTTTTAAAAAAATCGATTCTCAATTGTTTATAGGGGGGGTAGATTCTATCTCTATAAAAAACAATTTATTTTTAAAATTTATTAAAAGACTTTTGTTTTTTAAAATTTAATGTAAAGTTGTCATTGCCAAAATTGCTACCCAAACCAAGGCCCTAATTCTAGACTGATTATCCCTATTTTCCCCTTTTTATTGATAAGGGGGGGAATTTAGCGAATTCTGTAAATCAATTTCCTGTTTTTATAGTATAAATGTTTATTCTTCAAATAAAAAATTCGTTGAAAATTTTAATACAAGAGTCACTAAGTTAATATTAATACTTAATAATAATAGTTGTACCATATTGACAAACTTTATTAAATTTTTAAAGTATATTAACCTTTTATCCATTTAACAAATTAAAAATTCTTTAATTACATAATAATACCTTTATTTATCAAGGAATTATTATAATTATATATAATTATTATAACTATATATAACGTAAAACACGAAATATAAATCAATATAAATATTAAAACCTAATTCTGTATTTTCTATTTATGCTCATAATATCACCATTTTCAATTTTCATCACTAGAAAATGTCATGTCTATAATAATTTTTATAGCTTGTAGCCACGAAGGTAAGTAGCAACAACTTAAGTCAGTGGCTGTGATTACTAAAAAATCAACTAGATTTGTTCATACTAGCTTTTAAGGCTTTAAAATTTAAATTCTTCCTTATTTGTTTATTATTATTAAAGCACAAATTAATTTTTGCATGTTTTCTATTAATAAGAAGGGTCCACGAGACATTTTTTAAGTTTTAGATTTTTATCTTGCCCAGATACCATGTTGTTTAAAACGATAATTGTTGAAAGTTATTTATAAAAATATTTGAACAAATACATCATATCGTCATTGTATATACTTAGAGGTACATTAGCTATATATACCGTATTTTTATTTTTGGTGTATACAGTTGACGCATCACAGGAGCATTTGGTTTTAAGAGTCACAAATTTTATTAAAAAAATTCAAGTATTACAGATTTTATACCATTTCTATTTTTTTTAAATTTAGTAAAAGAAATAATAAAAATTTAAAATGGTATAAAACCTGTAATTCTTGAAGTTTTTTAATAAATTTGAAATTTGTCGATAAACTTCAGTGAATTAAAATATTGTACCACTTTAATTTGAATTATCTTAATTTGGGGGGACAGGAGGCTGGGGGCAGACCTTTTTTCGCTAACTTCAATTTAAATTCTGCTTGCGCAGAACTTGTATATTTAATGTCATTATAAACTCATAAAAATTTGATGTGGGTCACATAACTGAAATATGGGTGTGTCCAAAATCCACCAGCCGCCATTGAAATGTATTGCGTTATTATTTTTAAAACGATTCAGATTCTTTGGATGCCCTTGGCACTGTATACTTTTAAAGTAAAAATAATATAACTTTCAAATCACAACGTGTATTTTGTACCACTCTATAGCTATGAAGAAATGGTTAGGATTACAGTGTTGCCAGGTGTTACCAAATCTTAGCTATACTTTCTTCAACAACCATAAATTATTTTAAAAACTTAAAAAATGTTTTGAGAGATCTCCCATAAAAAAGTAGAATAGATTGTGTAACGTATTTTTATGTTTTAGACAGATACAATTTCACTTATACTACCGCCGTGCCCTTGCCGGGAATCGAACCCAGAACCCATGAACCCATTGCAGACGAAAAGATATACCGATCCTAAAGAAAACGTAATTATCTTAATTTTATATTTTTTACCACTTTGTTTCATTTCACAAGTTAAGTTCGACAAATCCAGTTGATTTTTTTGTAATTATTGAAACGAGCTTTTTTGTTTGGTCTTTTTGTGTTTTTTATTTAAATTATAATCCGGTGTGAAAAAAATTTATTCTAGGTACACGGAATAATAGATGACACACTAACTGCCTTGATTTATTTACTTTATGCTAAACCTAAATTAATTTTTAATGGGTTTTTCCTGACTAGTTTTATTTTATATAAACATTTTTTTTTTTAATTTTGTCGTTTCCGAAGATAAAGTGTTATTGATAGTATTGATTTTACATGATCGTTTAAATTTTTATATTTTTTTAGGGTTATTTTTAATATTTTTATTATACAGGTGTCCCGAAAATAGCGTGCAATACTCTAGAAGCGATTTTTAGGGCCAAAAATAGGAAAAAACATGTATTTTTTTATTAATATTTCTTGTTAAATATATTAAATCTCACGAAATGTTAATATCTAAGGTAGTAAAAGCATACTAAAAATATCAGTTCACTAAGTAAATTAAAACACATCCAAAGCAATTGAATCAAATATAAAATATTATTAAAAATTAAAAGAAATAATTTTTATAACCATTTATGTAGGTGTTACAAAAATTGATTCTATCCTCCGTGAATCTGTTTTGCTTTAAATTTTATGCAACGGATGGCGCTTTAATCATTTTAAATAAGCAAAACCTCTGTTTTCTCATTATAGATGCATGTGATTCCTGAAGGTCACTTAGAATTTATATGCAGATGAGAGTGTTGCTGTTTTATAATTCCAAAGTTTAAGTTCATTAATTTGCTATTTAAAAACCTATCCACCGTGAAGTGTAATATCTCAGTAAGTAGATTTTTTTATAAATATTTTATGTATGTACAATTTATTTTTCAAAAATATTAAGGTCTCAAAAGATACAATAACTTATTTCAAATATACTAACGGATGTTTAAAACAAAATACAAAATCCTAACCTCCGTGAAGCTATCTTCCGTGAAGCTCTTAGATTCAAAATGTATGATTTCTTAAAATTCTTGCATTAGTGGAAAACCACTTATGTTATGTTATTACTAGACCTGGTGGCTTCCCAAAAACCCCATTCTATTCTAACAGTGAACCAACCGAAAATAAAAAATAATTATTTTCACTTGAGAGACATCTCAATATATTCTCCCAAATACAAATTTGATGTTATTTTTAAATTCAGCATACAAAGTTAAGTTAGCATACAAAATGTCACTATTTTATTATCTCAAAACTTTTCGAAAATTATAGTAAAAAACCATCTTCAGGGGTGCTCTTTTAAGAGGCTGTAGCTCCCTTAGGGGCCATTTGTTGACCTATGCATATAGGAAGATTTCTTCATTTTTTTGTCTTTAGAAACCACTTTTATAGTATTGCACGTATCACACGAAATTGGGACAAATTTAACAATAGTACCACAGTTTAAAAAAAAGAATAGTGTCTCGCTGCTAAGGCGAGGCAGTTAATATACTTTCTTTCGCCATGTTGTATATACTAATTTTTTAAGCATTTGATAATTTGTACTTACATTGAAATTATTAAGTTTGCGACAGGTTTGACGTTTGACATATGTTATATTATAGGTTATGTACATGAATTTATTTTACAGTGACCTGTAAGTTTACATTTTCTTTGCTGATTTCGAGCTAAACGGGATAGATAGAACCTGTGTAATAATATGAAATAAAATAAAAAAAAATTAATCTCGCACGATATCCATGAAAAAAATACAATTTTAACTACCACGTCTTTTTTATAAAAATAGGCTTTGAGTTTAATAAATACTATAGTATACAAATTGTAATTTCTATTTATTTTATCTCTTAAAATATAAAGCTTATCTTTGAAAAAACGTGCAAAATAATCGATCCACACAAATTTTTCGATGAATTTCAATCGCAAATAACTTTTTTATTTGATGTCGGATTTAAACGAATATTAAAGAATATTGTGGATAAATTAATGGACAATCGCTCACATTTTAAAAAAATACTAAAAAAATAGACGTACGTTTATAATATACAGGTTTAAAACAAAAAGATGTTTTTTACCATAAGTTTAAGACACTCTGTAGAGTGGCAACACCTTATATTGTTCTTAATTAAGTTTTATTTATCAAGTCACATCTATTCTTAACAGTTTTGTTTTTGGTTCACCTCGATATATTTATTTTTGTGAAAAAATATGGATTTTTTAAAAAACATTGCAATTTCCAATATTTTTCCTGTATGAAGAACTAAGGTTGCTATGGTCCATCCATAGCCTATGGAGAATGACAGTGACAGTTTTGTTGAATCATCCCATACTTGGACATGTCATATACAGCTTTCAAAAGCTATCAAATTGTTTTTTGTAAATTAATGTGTTAATTTCTTACTTTAAAAAATGTCTCCGACTGATGTTGCCCTTTGTACTTTACTTTTACGTTTAAAACACTTGCCACGTAATACTGTGACCGTCCATACTGGATTAAATTAATAGCTCTGGCAACATCAGTCGGAGACATATCCATTTTATAAAGTAAGAAGGCACCTCAAAATTTAAACATTAATTTGCAAAAAACAGTTTGATAGCTTTTGAAAGCCGTGTATGACATGTCCAAGGATGATTCAACAAAACTGTCACTGTCATTCTTCATAGCCTATGGATGGACCATAGCAACCTTAGTTCTTCATACAGAAATATTGGAAATTGCAATGTTATTTTTAATAAATCCATATTTTCCAAAAAAATAAATATATCGAGGTGAACCAAAAACAAAACTGTTAAGAATAGATGTGACTTGATAAATAAAACTTAATTTAGAACAATATACGGTTTTGCCACTCTACAGAGTGTCTTAAACTTATGGTAAAAAACATCTTTTTGTTTTAAACCTGTGTATTATAAACGTACGTCTATTTTTTAGTATTTTTTTTAAAATTTGAGCGATTGTCCATTAATTTATCTACAATATTCTTTAATATTCGATTAAATCCGACATCAAATAAACAAGTTATTTGCGATTGAAATTCATCGAAAATTTGTGTGGATCGATTATTTTGCACGTGAAATCAAATGCTTGACTTCGGGTCCGGTTTGGCAGAAGTAAATGACGAAAAACCGGTGATCTGTGTTTATGCAGGGCTGCTGCAATGCGTGGGATCAGTGTTTCCGGCCTGCGAGGCCGCCGCGGCGGTCGCGCGACTGCGGTTGCCAGTTCGCGTTGCTGCATCGCGTCGACACCTAGCAGCACCAGGCGGGGCACGATGCCGCCCCAGACGGCCGCCGCCGCCGGCACGCGTTAGAGCGTGCGGAGGTCACGTGGTCCACCTCGACTTCGACGCAAGACTCGGTCGCATCAGTAAGTCCGAAGAGTGGTATCGCTCCAACAACGCTTACCACGAGTATAAATAAGCTCACGTAATCTTGTACGATGCAACTCTTCACTTGGTCAATTATCAAAAAAAAACACAAAAAATACATGAGGCAGTTTGGAATGTCTTAAGATATTCCAAATTTTAAATCTCTATCTTTAATTATTAACATTTTACGTGGGTATTTAAAAATTTAACCTTGAGATGGTTCAGAACTCCCATTTTCTATCTACTTGTATGTAAAACAGAACTACATTGTTAATAATTTGGAATTTAGTGGGGTTAGAATGTTAAAATTTGGTATACACATTATAGAATAGAATAGAAAACAAAAAATACATGATGCAGTTTGGAATGTCTTAAGATACTCCAAATTTTAAATCTCTATCTTTAATTATTAACAAAGAAAATATTAAAATATCGCTTTTTTAAATTTAAAAACAATATAAATAAAATTTGGCTTAAGATTTAATTATAAATTTTCATTTTACGTATTTAAAAATGTAACCTTGAGATGGTCCAGAACTCCAATTTCCAATCTACTTGTATGTAAAACAGAACTACTTTGTTAATAATTTGGAATTTAGTGGGGTTAGAATGTTAAAATTTGGTATACACATTATAGAATAGAATAGAATAGAATACAAAAAATACATGATGCAGTTTGGAATGTCTTAAGATATTCCAAATTTTAAATCTCTATCTTTAATTATTAACAAAGAAAATATTGAAATATCGCTTTTTTAAATTCAAAAACAATACAAATAAAATTAGGCTTAAGATATGTATCTTTACAATTATAAATTTTCATTTTACGTATTTAAAAATGTAACCTTGAGATGGTCCAGAACTCCCACTTTCTACTCTCTAAAAATGAAATAGTCAAAATTCTACTATTTGAATTAGTAAAAGCATTTTTTACTAATAAAATAGTCGTTTTCACTTTTAAATAGTTATTTTTTACTATGTAAATAGTTAAAGTTTGACTAATTTAAGATTAGTCACCATATTTGACTATTTCTGACAGTTAAAAGTAACTAATTTCTTTAGTCGTTTACGGCCAACAACAAAGTATTATTTGAATTAAATGCATATACCTCTCCATGGTTAAATGACCCATAAAACAAATAAAGATGCAAAAAGTTTAGCTCAAAATAGCAAGACAAATAATATATTAAACTTTAAAATATCATGAACCATATTTATTGACAAATAAAATTAATTTTTATAAGAGCGGCTGACAGCCGAATGCGTTAAGACGTTAGCTTGACGTTAGATTGACAAACTTGTCAAGTGACAGACCGGAGTTCAATCCCAGGCTGGGACAAAACTTTTTTTAAATTTAAATTTACTAATTTGACTATTTCATTCAGTGGAATTTGACTAATTATTAGTGACTGCTTTTTCACTATGACAATTAGTCAAATATGACTTATAGTTAGTTATTTTTGACTAATTCATTTTAAGAGAGTATCTACTTGTATGTAAAACACAACTACTTTGTTAATAATTTGGAATTTAGTGGGGTTAGAATGTTAAAATTTGGTATACTCATTATAGAATAGAATAGAATACAAAAAATACATGATGCAGTTTGGAATGTCTTAAGATACTCCAAATTTTAAATCTCTATCTTTAATTATTAACAAAGAAAATATTGAAATATCGCTTTTTTAAATTTAAAAACAATATAAATAAAATTTGGCTTAAAATATGTATTTTTACAATTATAAATTTTCATTTAACGTATTTAAAATTGTAACCTTGAGATGGTCCAGAACTCCCATTTTCTATCTACTTGTATGTAAAACAGAACTACATTGTTAATAATTTGGAATTTAGTGGGGTTAGAATGTTAAAATTTGGTATACACATTATAGAATAGAAAAGAATACAAAAAATACATGATGCAGTTTGAAATGTCTTAAGATATTCCAAATTTTAAATCTCTATCTTTAATTATTAACAAAGAAAATATTGAAATATCGCTTTTTTAAATTTAAAAACAATATAAATAAAATTTGGCTTAAGATATATATTTGTACAATTATAAATTTTCATTTTACGTATTTAAAAATATAACCTTGAGATGGTCCAGAACCCCCATTTTCTATCTACTTGTATGTAAAACAGAACTACATTGTTAATAATTTGGAATTTAGTGGGGTTAGAATGTTAAAATTTAGTATACACATTATAGAATAGAATACGTTTCTTTGTTAACATAGTTTCCAAATTAGAGTGTTAAATTTTTTTAATTTTTAGTTATAGCTAAGTACTAATATTAAAATGGTTCAGTACTTTAATAGGTTATGCAAATTTATTTTAAAGTAAAAAGCTTAGCAAACCGATGTAAAGGGACACTTAGGTAAAGAAATTAAAAGTTTTTCGAACTTTGCCTAAAAATCTGGTGTCCATATGATACAAGAAACGAGGGTCCAGGTACACGAAGCGAGTAAATGAAAGCAAGAATGTAGGCTGAACGTTTTTTAAAAATGGTATCGTACGCATCGCTTCTTCTAAATTTTTGCTAAAACGAAATTTATTGTTAAGTTCTGCTTAAATAATTGTTACAAGTGTTTGTGTATTCTCCAAGGTTCGTTCTTAATTTTTGTAGCCCAAATTATGTATTAAAGTCAAATTCCATTATTTTATTGTATTCCAATCTATTTTATAATGTGTATACCAAATTTCAACACTCTAACCCTACTAAATTCCAAATTATTAACAATGTTGTACTGTTTTACATACAAGTAGATAGAACATGACAGTTCTGGACCATCTCAAGGTTATATTTTTAAATGAAAATTTATAATTGTAAAAAACATATTTACACATTCTCCTATTATCGGCACCTTTCAAAAAACGCATGTTTTAATTCAATTTAAAATAAAAAGGTTGTATACATATTGGTACTTTGGTATTTCAGCTACAACTGTAAAAATAAAGAAAAATTAACACAAACCACGTTAATAAAGAAACTTATAATGTGTATACCAAATTTCAACATTCTTACCCCAATAAATTCCAAATTATTACCAATGTAGTTCTGTTTTACATACAAGTAGATAGAAAATGAGAGTTCTGGACCATCTCAAGGTTATATTTTTAAATACGTAAAATAAACACTTTCTTACTACATATAAGTTATTAATAAAACAAACTTTACTAAATTATCAATTAAATGTAATATTATTTACATAATAATTATTATTCTCCGGTCTCTACAAGCCTTAAGCAATCATAAGCGCTTCAATTGGGATTAATCATGTACAGCGTTCGCTGGCTATATCAAGAAATGCAGTACACTGCATTGCATCATATTCTGTATGTTAATCGGGTTTATACTGCTACAACACCGCTTTAAACAGAATGCTGAGTTTTCGTAATTGAGTTTTTAAACCTTTGTCAAGTGATGTTTGATTCTGTAACAAAAACACATCGGCAGCAAACTAACTTTACGTAGTAATTTCACAAACATCAAACCCAATAAACCAAGTGTCAACTATGGCAAATATGAGGAAAGCATACATGGAAAACAAATTACAGAATGTCGAACGGCGTAACTCAAAGTTAGTTAGTTATTGGCGCGTCGCGAATTTTAGTTTGCGTATGAGCGAGTTAATTAATCGAATTCATTGGTTAGGCATATGCAAGATAAACTATAAACGTAATCTTTGTAAATAAACACAATATCTTAAAATGAAAATGTAAATACATAGTAAATCCATATATATTACTAACATCTTTCACGCAATGGGTAAAAGAGTTTGCATCGTACAAGATAACCGAAAAATGCTTTGCTAGTTCACAGAAACGCTATTTTATTCGTATAATAAAGTCACTTTTTATTCACAGTAATGGAGGATATGGCCTACACGGACATTTCACAGCTTTTGTTAGTCTTAAAAATGCTTTTACAATTTTTATATATATATAAGTTTCAAGCCCCTGTATGTCTAGCACAGTGAAATTGCAGCACCCTGTATACAACACAGAAAAGGGCCAATTACTGATACTAAGGTTTAAAACGTCGCAAATGCAACTTTCATTTTAAATATCATTTCGCTTGCCTTTTGATATACAAAAACGAAATTTTTGCATAACTTTAGTTATGGTTAGTCATTGGTCCTTTTTCAGTTTTTCAGTACATTATTGCAGCTTTTCAGGGCACCCGCTTCCAGTTTAACTAAAATAAGTCAAAGCTTTCAGAACTAAATAAATAATAATAAGTAGATACTGTATTCAATAATTTAAGGTGAATTCATAATTTTTGTAGGCTCTTGTGTATTTTGTATATATTTTCAGGGATAGTATTTAAAATATTATTATTATTATTATTATTATTTTTTATTTCAGTGTAAGTATTAAAAATTCGTTCACTTATTTTAATTTAATATGTGGGTGTATAACAAAACAAAATGTAGAAATCCAAGCCCTATATAAAGGGGTGTTTAGTGATTTTTTTTCAATAGAAAATGATCACTATAGAAACAATAAACCAATAAGAGCACAAACTTTACCGTCCATAAATCCATTTTTATTCAGATTATAATATCAATTACAAAATTAATCGCATTTTTTAAGGGATAATTTCTCACAAGATGGGGCCAATTTTGAACATTTTTTTCGTTATTGGCGTTCCTAGATATATTTTTTACGTAAAACTTTTATAATTCATAAATATTATTATTTCCACAATAAACATGAAGAACTATTAGTCTCAGTTTTTAATAAAAAAACAAGTATACTTTATCTACTCCAATAAGTATAGATAATTAAATTTTGATGCTGATTAAATAAATTTAAATAAATTTACAACAAAAAATGAAATGATATTAAAAACACATTTGGATTGTTACATAAAATAATACAAAAACATATTTACGTAAATTTACCACAAAACACAAAATAAATCATAATGGAAAAAAACAGAACTAAAACTTTTTTGTTCTATATTGATTCGATATTAAACGTTTAAAAATAA